TAGCACCCGCAGGACCCTCCCCCGGGGGGGGGGGGGACCCGCACCGAAAGGAAGAGAGGCGAGGCGTCGGGGGCGGGGGGGAGGCCGGGGGACCATGGATGAGAAGCTGCAGGCGCATCAGGTAGACATCGATCCGGATTTCGAGCCCCAGAGCCGGCCTCGAGCTGGCACCTGGCCCCTGCCTCACCCGGACTTCCCGGGCGAAGAGGACGATGGAGCCGCGGCGGCTGCTGCCGGGGCCGGCGCTGGAGGAGGGATCTGCGGCGGCGGCGTGGGCTCCAAGCACCCCCTGGCCGGGGGCACGGAAGGCGCCGAGAACGCCGGAGTGGCGGCGGAGCGAGGCAAAGGCGCCCCGGCGCTGCCTTCCTTGGGCGCCGACGTTGGACAGCTCCGCAAGGCCAAGACCTCCCGGCGCAACGCTTGGGGGAACCTGTCGTACGCGGATCTCATCACCAAGGCGATCGAGAGCTCCCCGGAGAAGCGCCTCACCCTCTCGCAGATCTACGACTGGATGGTCAGATACGTCCCCTATTTTAAGGATAAAGGAGACAGCAACAGCTCCGCCGGTTGGAAGGTACATCTTTTGGACGACCCCCCCTTCCCCCCCAGCCCTAGTTTGCAGAATCCCTAGTGAAGTTTTGTTTAATTTTTTTTTAACTAACCAGGGTTGAGTTACTCTGCAGGATGTTTAAAACGGATTAGTTGCTCAGCACCCTATGTGAATCCCCCCCCCCCTGCTTTCCCAGGAATAGAAGGTTTTAAAATGGTGTTTTGACACCCTCCCCCCCATGCACACTTACCTAAAAGACAGGCTTTTAAACAGATCTGAGTGAATGAATCTCATCCAGAACAACTCAGAATCTAATCCGTCCAGAAACAAGTCTGAATTAAAGTACACGGTCATGCGCCTTCTGTTCGTTTGCCTTCTATTCTCTCCAGGGACCTTATTGGAAGGGACTGGCTAAGTTTCGTGGAGGGGTCTAGTGTGGCCAGAGGTTCTGGCTTTGTGGCGTGAACAAAAAAGGGTCTTGCATTCATTGCCAAGCAAGAGATTGCTTCTTTATCAGGGCTGAGGGCGGAGAAGACCGGCTTCTCTCTAGGCATGCCAGGGGAGAAGAGGAGAATCCCCTCTTACTCATTATAGGCAGAATGGATGGAGGTTCCTGTTGCACTGGCGACGAGGGAGATCATTACAGGGATCAGCACCTGTTCGGCTGCCTGGCCCACCTACCAAACTTCCTTCCCCAAAGCCTCAGAGGGGGGGGGGGGGGGGACATCTGACCTCTCGTCTCCCATTGCAGCCGGGTAGCACCTGCCCATCTGTTCAGACCGAAATGGTGCCCCAGTTTCCCCCCCACCCAGTCTAATTGGTGGGAAATGCAATTGCAGGAAATGGGGTTTTGCAGCTTTGGTCCCCGATTTGGGTGGTGATCTTTTTAGATTATAAAAATCCTTCTGGAATAGACTGTGGATTGCAGGAATCAGCTGCGTCCTCTGGTAGGCTTGGAGGTGTGATCCCCTCAGAAAACCACTGGCTGGCGAGGCCTTTGGAATGGAGTTGAACTTGGCGGGGCGCGTGAGACAGTTTTTTGAGGGCTTGGCTCGGGTTGGGTTGAAACTGGGCAATACAATCGAGTGGTTTTCCATGCAGTGGTAAAAAAGCCCCTCTCCCCATCTAATGACCAAAATGGATTACATTTTCTGTGTGTCCCTCCCCCCCCCCTTTTAAAAAATATTGCTTCTGTGTATTTCTGTTGTTCTTGGTCTGAAGGAAATCTGATCCCATATTTGTCGGGTTGTTGCTGCGTCTTTGGAGAAAGCTAAGCGATCGGGTAGACTCTGGCTTCTAAGAAGTGTGCCTTTGACGGAGGGCATGGAGAAGGATGCTCTCCCCCACGTGGACTGACCACAGTGACCCTTGTGATGCAACAGCGTGCAGAAGGAGGGTGCCGTGGTCTTCTGTTCTCCTGCAGACCTGCACGCAGCCCTGTGCTCTTCAGATTCGGTTCTGCTGGCAAAGCTCCAGGCAGTTGCCTTTGGATTGTTAAACATTTCTGTCAGTAGTAATCGATTCCCCTCTTATTGTGATTTAGTGTAGACTCCGGTTGCTCTCCATGAGCTTACAAGGAAGAGGAGGGGAGAAAGGGTCTACTTTTCTTCACTCCACTGAGACACCCAGCTTGGGTCTAGCTGGCGAGGAAGACTCCCTCTTGCATGCATCTTTGGGGTTTGCAAAGGCTGGTGGAAGGGGGGGGGGAGAAAGGGGAGATTGTGTCATGTTGGAACCCATAGGTGTTAGCACAAAACACAGTTCTGCTTTATTCCCCCCCAACCCCCCCCCCATCTTCAGGTTTTTTTTGGCTAACTAGTAGTACCTTAGGTTAGGCAACAATTTTAGTGGTTTTTCAGGCTGATCTTTTAAAGCATTCAGTGAGCCTCTAAGACAAAGCAAGACTTGCTGTTCATATTCTTTAAAAAAACAATTTCCCACTGTGTTCTGGTTGCTTGTCAATAGCTGAAGAAATTGATTGAATGTGTTTTGGGTACACAAGAACCTTGGGGTGGGGTCAGAGGACCAAAGCCGTTCATTTCAATGGGACTTGTGTGGGTGTCCTGACATAAACTCACCTGCATCAAGCAGCGTTGAATGTATTGTGCACCTGTCGCTGACTCTGTAACACCAAGGTGTCCCAGAAGCACCCGTTTGAGATTACAATTCCAAAGAGGTAGCAGAATTACCCAGGAGTCCAGTAGCATCTTAAAGATGATCAAAACTGATTTCAGCCTGAGCTTTTGAGAGCCAGTGTTCACTTCCTCAGATGCACCTGAGATTGTGACAGTATTGCTTTGGGCACTCTGTGCATAGGTCTGGACTCCAAAATAAAGCAGCGGTCCGCCAGCATCTTAAAGACTAACAACATTGATCTATCCCTATGATGACACATATAACATGATCCCAGCAGAAGCTTCCATTGACTTCTCCAGCGAGCTTACTGCTAGGCATACAAAGCCGATGCTGTTTCTAGATGCGTTGTCCAAGTTTGCATGGAGAGTCCATGGTGGAGCCGTGAATGGACCTTTGCCTCAGCTTGTTCTGAGTTTCTTTGTATCTAGTAACTCTCCGACACCATCACTGTCTCCCCCTCTGGAATACTGCAATACCAAGGGCCAAAACAGAACAAAGAGCAGTAAGACCCTGTTGCATCTCTTTCTCTAAATAATAATGATCAAAAACAAACTGTTAAGGAGGTTAGATTCCAACAGCAGAGGAGGTCTGTGCACTGGTTGGTAAGGGCAGTGGCAAAGGTCAAGTGGCCAGGGCAAGGGGTGCGTGGCACAAGGGTGATGCGGCATGCCAAAGAGCCCACAGGATCTCTTCTAGAGCTGCAAAGCTCTGTTGGTCCCCCCCCCTTTTTTGCTGTCAAGTCACAGCTGAGTTATGGCAACCCCATAGAGTTTTCAAGACGAGAGATGTACAGGGGTGGTTTGCCATTGCCTGCCTCCACGTCATGACCCTGGTATTCCTTGGAGGCCTCCCATCCAAATACTAGCCAGGGCCGACCCTGCTTAGCTTCAAAGATCTGATGAGATCAGGCTAGCCTGGCTTTCCGTGCTTCTCTTTCGGCAGTGCGATTCTGTGCTTGTAGTAGGGGAAGCTCCCTTTTCAAAAGATAGTTATCATCCCCCCCCCCTCCGCCGGTGTACTGCAGTGCTTCTTCACCTGGATAGCCCAGGCGAGCTTGATCTTGTCAGTTCTGGGAAGCTAAGCAGGGTCGGCCCTGGTTAGGACTCAGATGGAAGACCTCCAAGGAAGTCCAGGGTCACTGGGCAGAGGCAGGCAATGGCAAACCACCTCTGTTTGTAACTCTTGCCTCAAAAACCCTACAGGGCTCCCAAAAAACAGCTATGACTTGAAGGCGCTTTCCACCACCACAGTGGTTCTTTCCGATGGTGAACTGTGCAGCCCATCCTGGCTTCTGCTGTGCATGGGACCAGCATGGAGCAAAACCTCCAGCTCTCCTGGGTTCCCTGGCTCGGATATTCTTCATAAACATTTCCTGATTCTCCCCCCCACCTCCTGAAATCAGAGCTGTCTGGACATGTCCTTAGAGGGTGCCAGTGTGCTTCCACTTAAGAAAGTTCATCTGCTCGGCAGCTGGTTTTGCTGTCCCCAGAGACGCCGGCATTTAAGTCCTGGGTAATGAGAAGCCTTCTCTAAATGTGCCCCTCTGCCTCACCACCACCACCCCTCCCCCGATGCTGCAGCACAGACTTTCCTACAACACTGCCATTTATTAGGTCTTACAGGTAGATCCGTAGTTGCGGTAGAACAAATCTGGGAAAGCCTTTACGGGTCAGGGAAGCGGGGTTGAATAAAATTGGGTCAGGAGTCCTTGTATTGCAGTTCTAACGCTGGCCCTGGCACCGTGGGTGAGCACAGGAAACTAACTTCTACTGAGTCAGACCGTTGGTCTATCTGTGACTGGCTGCAGTTTGAGAGGGTCTCACCGTGGGGGTCTTACGTATTACCTGCTTCCTGATCCTTTTAACTGGAGATATCGGGGATTGAACCTGGGACTTTCTGCATCCAAAGCCAATGGCACTGCATCTGAGCTGCAGCCCCTCTGCCAGGCAGATGAGACACATAGTGAAGGACAATTCTCCACTCCAGGTGACCCAAGCTCCAGCCAAGCTAGCCAGCAGAGGAATACACCCAAAGAGCAGCCCTGAATCATTTCTGTTATGCGACTCTGGCAGTTTGACAGAATGCCTTGTGCAATTTTTGTTTTGAAGAAAGAGAAACTCAAAAGCGAGGAAACGTAAATAGTTTGAAAACTAGCATTTCACTGAATGCACCAGCCAAAGGCCACGGATACAGAAGCTTGAAACCACTCAATCTTCAGAGAAGTGTTTTAGAAGTACCCCAGTTGGGATGCTGAATGGCTTGAGACGTACGTTTGCCTGGCTGTCTTTGGTATAATGGTAGCACGATTGCTTAGAAATGAAACTTGGTGAGAGAAAGGGAAGGGTGCGTGTGTGTGTGCGGATGCGCACTGTGATGAATCTCCTGTGTAGATGACAGGCCTTCCGGGGCCAGTCCCATTTCGAACGTTTCTCTTTGGACACCCTTCTAGATTTGCAACTTGCAAGCTCCAAGGCCTGAGGGAGCCCCTAAATCCAGGGAAGGACTGACTCCTGTTCAACACTCCCTCTAAACTGTGGAGACTTGTGAGCAAAAATTCTACTTTGTGAGCTACTGGCATTAAAATTGTGAGCAAGCGATTTGGCTACTGCATAAATTAGTTTTCTCTGGAGTCATCCTTCCGGAGCTAAGGCAAAAATGTGTGAACTGGAGGCTGGAAAACTGTGAGCTAGCTCCCACTAACTCAGCTTAGAGGGGACACTGCTCCTGTAATGTCCTGGAGGGATCAAGAGAGAGCTCCCCCATTCTCTGGTGCATCTCCAGAGAAGAAGCCGCTGTCATTCCTCACCTGGGCACTCTGTCCTCTTGTGGCTCCCCCTAAAGAGCAGATACGGAACAGCAGCTACAAATACAGCTTGCCTCTCCCTTCT